ATGTGGGTTGCATGGTGCACATGGGGTGCATGAGGCACATGGGGCATACAGGGTCCATGGGGTGCACAGGTTGCATGGCACATTGAGGCACATTGGGACAATGTGGGGAGTATGGGGTGTGTGGGGCACAGGACATGGGTTAGACATGGGGCACGTGGGGTGTCTGGAGCGCAGTGGGGTGCATGGGATGTACGGGAATTATGGTGTGTATGGGGTGCACAGGGCACACACGGTGGGTTCATGGGGTGCTTGCAGCTCATGGGGCACACGGGGTGTGTGGGGTGCTTGCTCCCCCAAGGCTGCCCTGTGGGACCCTCTCCCTTTTTGTTTGTCCTCTCTGCTCTCCCCTTTCCTCTCCTGCAGCTCTTCGGGTTCCTCAACTTCCTGCTGTGGGCCGGGAACTGCTGGTTCGTGCTGCGGGAGACGCCGTGGCTGCGGCCGCCCGCGCCCGGCGACAGCGCGGCCGAGCAGGGCGCCATCGACAAGCAGTAGCCCCGGGGCCACCAGCCCGGGGACCCGCCCGGCCCCCGGGACCTCGCGCCGGCCGCCAGCCCGGGGACGGGGTGTCGCTGTCCCCGGGCTTGGAGCCGCCGGGGGTTGGGATGCTGAAGGGCGACACGGAACGCCGGGGGTCCCGCTTGTTGTCGGGGGCTCTGTGTGTCACCCCGGGGGTCCGTGTCTGTGTGGGGCGCATAAAGTCCTGGGTACCAGCTGTGCATCGCGGCTCCGGTGTCTGCCTCGGTGCGGAGCTGCGCGCACCCGGCTGGGGCACGACCCCTGGTCCATACAGGGATAAACCCGTCCCGTCTCTGGCGCAGGGTGAACTGTACCAGATCCTGGTGCACTGGGATCCTGGCACTGGGAACGGGCACCCCGCACTGGGATCCTGGCACTGGGAATGGGGCAACCTGCACTGGACACCTGGTAGTGGGAATGGGGCACCTTGTACTGGGATCCCGGTACTGGGAATGGGCACCTTGCATTGGGATCCTGGCACTGGGAATGGGCACCCTGCACTGGGAACCAGACATCAGATTAGTATTGGGATAATGGAGGATCCCAAACAGGTCACAGGGGACCCCAGAGCAGTAAAAGGATAATCAGGAACCTCAGTCCAGCATTGGGATAATACTGGGAGCACCATTCCAGTATAGGGATCACTTGGAACCCCAGCCTGGAATGGGAATAATGACAGGGGGTCCCAGTTCCATATAGGGATAACAGGGAACCCCAGAGCAGTGGAAGGATAATGGGGGTCCCAGGCTGGTATAGGCATGACGAGGGTCCCCAGCTCTGCACAGGAATAACCTGGAATCTCCGCCTTGTGTGGCAATACCCTGGGCTGACAGCCCAGTATAGAAGTAACTATACAGACCCCAGCCCCTTATAGGAATAACTGGGGTTCTGGGTCTGGTGTGGGGACAACAGGGAACCCCAACAGAGTATAGGGATACCGGGTACCCCCAAGCTGTTATCAGGATACCCGGTAGCCCCATTCTCATACAGGGATAACAGGAGACCCCTTATAGGAACAACTGGAGTTCTGGGTCTGTTATGGGAATAACGGGGAACCCCAACCGACTGTAGGGATACCGAGTGCTCCTAACCTGTTATAGGGATACCGGGTACTCTCATCCCCATACAGGGACAACAGGAGAACCCAGCCCCTTCTAGGAATAACTGGGGTTCTGGGTCTAGTATGGGGACAACAGGGAACCCCAGCCGAGTATAGAGATACCGGGTACCCCCAAGCTGTTATCGGGATACCGGGTACCCCCAAGCTGTTACAGGGATACCGGGTACCCCCAAGCTATTGCAGGGATACCGGGTACCCCCAAGCTGTTATCGGGATACCGGGTACCCCATCCCCGTACAGGGATAACAGGAGACCCCAGCCTGGTGCAGGGATCACTCGGGACGCCCGGTCAGTGCGGGACAGCGGGTGTGCCCAGCTCAGCGGGCGCCGTGCCGGTGCGGGCTGCCGGGTCGGGCCGGGCGGGGGTCGCTCCGGGACTACCGTGCCCGTGGTGCCGCGGGGCGGGCGGGGCGCGCGGCGCATGCGCGGGGCGGGGGCGGCGCGG